TAGTAGAGCCTTTGAATGAAGTTTTAGTATAGTACTTGACCGGTATTATGTGGGACATGTTAGGAAGCATGGATGATCTTTGGCATTTGCTTCTCTTTCCCGCTATCTTCATAATGAGAATTTATTGCTCGCTTGGTTATAGCTGTTATGATTTTTTGCAGGTTTCAGGCCATAGTGCTCTATCAATTTCTAGAAATAGCATCAACTTACGGAGTTTAGATTTGTCTTTGTTTGTTTTTGTGCCTAAAGATCATAGTGAAATATATAATATCACACGTTTGTGGTGTGATGAATGTTGGGTTCTTGATTCTTGGTTTTCACTGTAAATGGAGTCTTTCTCGGTTTCCTTTACGAGATTATTAAAGTTGGAATTTGGGTTCTCTTTTTTCATCGTATATAAGCACGTTTTGTGATTGTGTTACCTATTCAAATGGATGTTCTATTAAAGTTGGAATCTATTTGCTCTTTTTTCATCGAATATAATCGCGTTTGTGTTACCCCTTGTAATGAGATGTCTTTTTCTATGCAGCAAGTGAAGGAATGTAATTTCGGTTCGGAGGTATCAATTTTTTTATCAATTAGTACAAACACCAGCCTCACAGAAATTGGCCGTCCAAAGCCGCACCACGGCGGTCCTCTTCACGACTACAAAACTACTCATTCACGAATCTCCTGGTAAGGGTTCTTCTCGCTTTCATTTTTCGAGTGGTAATGGGATTGTTGAGGATTTTTTTTTTTCAACTCTTTTAAAATTTTCAACTTAGTTGTTTCTAGATTTTTTATAACATTTGTTTTTGTTTTTGGAGTAAAAGTGATTTTATGAAATCGGGGCATTTTATTTGTATGTCTATGTTTATATTATTGATTTTTTGTTGTTGCTTATCATTGCAAATTTATTTATTTTTTAATTTTCACGTTACTGAGTAAAGGCTTAGTGCCAACCTACTATTTGCATCAATTTAAGTATATATATGATATCTAATGTAACTTTGGGACCACAAAATCTCTGCAAGATATTTTTTTACCTGTTTCTATATTGCTTTCACTTCTCTTGCTAATTTTAGATTTAATTTTTTGTTTTTAATTAAATTTATTGTTCTTTGGCAAAATGATTTGGTTTTTGAAGGATCTTATCAAGTTCTAGCATGAGTAGATGATCATCCACTGATTTGTCAACAGGTAATTAATATATATATATATATATATATATATATATATGCATTTTTGTTATCTATTATATCATATAATGATTTAACTAATTAAAAATTCATATTAAATTACTTATGCAAGTTATACACCATAAAGAATATAATAGTTAAAATTTTCATCATACTATTTATTTTACATGAATATATCTTTTTTTTTATTTTTAACATTTTTATTTATTTGTATCACAGTGAAGGATGTATATCGTCGTCGAAATGCGGCTAAGATGAAAAGAAGATACAACGATTTAGATGCTTATAAGAAGCAAGTGTATTGTGCTAAAAAAAATAAACATCGCAAGGGCCAAAATATGGGTGTTGCACAGGGAGTCAAATTGGAATAATGATGTTTAATCCAAATTGGAATAACGATGTTTAATGCTGCTATTGATGAATACGCAAGCAAATTCCAACTCAACAATACGTATTCAATCACTGATGGTGAAGTTGGAAAAGTCAATTTCACTTTTGTACATATGGCCATTCATCCAGAGAAAGAAATATGTCTTAGAAACTCCAATGAAACTTTCGTAAATCTTGCCGCTGAAGATATAGGACACAATCTCTCCTATAATTTCACCAAGTTTAACAACATCAATGTCAAAAATTAGATTTCTATGAACTCCACTCTATTTTTAAAATTCCATTTATATTTTTCTTCAGACATATGTGGGATCATAAGGAAGACCAAGGAATCAAGTATTGTGACAAAAGAAACCGGAGCAAAAACATCCATGAGAGAGATAACGATTTGTGGACGAACAATATATATTTTCTATTCTTACAAATTAACAATGTCTTATTAAATATTAGTAATAATTTATATACAATATTGATAAATTTACAAAATATTAATAATGATAACAAAGTTCAAAATTGATTATATATGTAGGTATTGATCCATTCTGGTCTCTTTATGAGATGAAATGGCTCAAAATGAAGGATCAAACATACACGACATGGTTGAAGAGAGTCGATTTATTGCAATTACGAATTTGATAAAACCAAAGATCTCCAACAGTAACATCAAAACCAATTACATAAACAGTACTTTTATTTTTACAATGCCTTCAATTAATGTAGAGAAAAATATCGTCACAATTATCTACAATCATAATTATGTTAATGACACACTATTATCATACATATTTCTCAATTAATTACAGCTATATGATTTAGATTCTTATTGACATAAAAACAATGTTCTTTTTAATTACAATCATACATATTAGTGGGAGTATTTATTGCCCGGGATTATTTATTTACAATATACATATTTACAATCAAACAATGTTAATTACAATCATACTTTAAATTTTATAATCCATTAATATGTTTGTAGATAATTGTGCATATAACTTTGTGATTATAATGTTCACATTTAATTGATTAGGCCAATTGCAATTGCAAACCAGTGCAACGTCTGTACTTCAGATAAACCCGGCGTGTGAGGAAAACAACCATATGCGTATATGGTATCCTCTAAATTTGATACGATATAAAAAATATCACACTTTACATAACAATAATATTACCTCATACTTTTTGTATTTTTTAGGTTACAAACACATGACAACCCTGTGAAAATAGTTGAAATGTCAATAGCAAGAAGAATGAAGGATTTGGATAGTATCACCTTGCAACAAATTTACTACAATCGTGCATACATCGTTGAGGTAAATTTAACAAATATCTTAAATAACCAACATATTTTTTGGTCAACTATTTATATAAATAACCATGGTTGCCAATCACAGGAAAAATGCTATTGTTTTAGAGGATTTGTGGACAAGGTGATTAACAAATGTATGAATCTTGCAAAAATTGCTCCTCCTCTATTAACAAGAATGACGGCAACAAGATGTGTAAAAAGTGCAACGATGTGGTAGAAACAACTCCAAGGTAATAAGAAAAAACAAAAAAAAAAATATCTCATATTTTAAAAACATAACACAATTAGAACAATTTTACTATTTGCATATATAGGTTGGTACTAAATGTTGCTGAAGAGAACCTCAGTGGCACTATCACACTTTTTGAAGATGCTGAAATGGTTTACGTGGGGTGTTCTGTTGCAGACTACATTAGATCCATTGAGCAGGTAATTAAAATTCTCAATTTATAACTCAAAGTCATCTTCAAATACTCAAACTTATAACTCATGTTCATCTTTAAATACACAATTTTTAACTCAAATTACGTTCCAAATTTATTAGGGAGAAGAATCATCTGGTTACTATTGAGGATTGAGCTTGCAATCAACCACCCAATTTCAATATATCATCCAAATAAATAATAAGTCCTACAACTCAAGAGGAGAGATGAACGTGGTTGCCGAAGCAATTGCAAGATTAAATGATGATGAAATGAACGAAAGTTCATCAAAATCTCCTAAAAACGCAACTAATCTGCAAAAGAATCAAGGGGTGCCACATAAAACAAGTTCAAAGAAGAAAACGCGTCGCCAATAAGATAAATGAAGACGACAATGATAGTGTCATTGAAATTGAGGATAATGAAACAATCATCAGTCTTAAAAAGAAATGTGTGCGCAACAATTCGAAAGGAAAGGGAAAGAAATCATGCACTCCAATCATCAACATAAAGAAAGAGGAGTTGAAGATCATAGTTACTTTAGTTAATGTTTAGTTTAAGAACAATATTTTGTTACTTTCTTGCTATAGATCATTTACTTTACATTTTTAAAAATTTCATCTACTATCTATTTTACCTTAGACCATTAATAATTTATCCCAGCTACTTCATGCTTTCTATTAAGAGTAGTTTAAGAAAACATAGTACCATGAAACAATCATCTCCTCGTAAACTAAATTAGCAAAAATATATTTTCACCACGTGCATCGCACGTGTCTCTTACTAGTAATATTAAATGAGTGGATAAATGTGTCTCATATATTTGCGTTTAAATGATTGAGCAAATGTTGAAGAGTGTTTAAATGGAGAAGTGGTTAGTAGAAAGATGATTAAATGAATTGAAATGAATTCGAATGCCCTTAGTCGACAAGAACATTTTCTTTTTTTTTTTCCCTAAAACACGTACTCAACCAATGCTATTCTGCACAAATGAAACCCATCATGAGCAGTTTCACGAAAAACTCATTTTTTTTTCTTCTTCCAGTGAACAAGTTGAGCTTGGTTGGGCCAACAAACTTTGGTAGATATGCATAAAATTAATAAGTAGTGAAAACAACACATGGTTTCTTATTAGACCAAGAACTACATCATTAATCAAATTAGCATATGATCGTCTGTTATGATCACCCTGCGCTTCTCAAACTCTAATTTATCATCAGACGTTAGTGTTAATAACCAAACATATTCCATAAGAGAAGTGGATCATATTTGTGGCAGAAATATGAAATAAACACCAGTGTCATCTTTGGAATTCCATCAAAGCTCATATACTTTTTCACATTGAGAAGTTAGGTAAAACAAGCATCAACAGTCCAACAAACTATAGCATTTACCACATGAATTTCAAGAAAGAAAATAAGTGCAAGCATGAAATGAAAAATTGTGTATCAACATCGTTGTGGAACTGAAAAAAAACCATTCCCCCACCCCCCACTCCACAGCGAAAACACTTGGACACATTCTTCTCTATTTTGCCCATTTTTCTCCTCTTCAACCTTGAGCTCATCACTCATTAGCCACGCCAACTTCATGCAACATGTAACCACTGTCGATTTCTACAACTTTTCTAGCCGTTCATTCAGATTCCCATCTTCCTGCCTATCTTTCTTCATTTCTCGTTACTTCTAAGAATTTGTTCTTTCATAAAGACCCTTGAGCAGAAGCAATGATGGATCCAAATATACCGGATTCTCTTAGGCCTTGGATGATAGTCTGAAATACGAGCAGGAATATATATATATATATGTATATATATATATATATACATATATATATATATAATATAGGTCATATAACAAATAGCCATGTTTTGATGATCTTTTCTCCACCCAGTGGTCATAGAAAGAAGCTTTACCATGGGAGTATAGATGCGCAATAAGATTCCTTTCCGTAACAATTTTAAATTGAGTGTTCGATCAGTCCACACAACATGTTCTCGATACCTGTTGCAGCAAATAAAAGGTTGTCTAGAAAATGAGACAGTAAATGAACTTAGTTGTGAATATTCAAGCATTCTTCCATCAAAATAAATAGGTTTCGGAAGAAATTTACCCAACTTTAAAAATAACAGGGGCAATTTAGGGCGTGCTTGTTTGCAAATAAATCCGCACAAAATGAGTTTTTCTGGTTAACCATGGTTAATTGAAAAAGGTGGTATGATTATTTGTTAGTGAAATTTTAAGTTTATATGAAAATAATATTTAAAATAAAATAACTAAAGTTGATTTGATGTAAAAGTAAGAGAGAGATAATATGGCATGATTGTTAATTAAAATTATGTGAGTGAATGAATAGTAAATTAAATGTTGTAATGTGTAAGATTGGTTTGTATTATTTCATAATATTTGATAATATTAAAGATAATGATGTGAGTTAAAATTGAGTTAGATTTTGAGTATGAATTGAATGAGAGTGAAATAATTTATAACCAAGCTTGCCCTTAGAGAACCTCGGCATTACCAATTTAGCATCTCTTCGTTTGTTGCAGTTGAAGCAATTATAAATGCCTGCAACAAGTATCAAGTGAGTTTCTTAAGAATTTTTATTTTGAAAAACAATTAATATTGAGTGACGCAAGAAGATTTTTCATTCATTATCTAGCCATTTATTACTAAAATAAGGTGATACTATTTAACAAGACAAAAAGGAAATGAGATAAACAAAGAAGCTTGTAGAATGAAATCAAAAAGTGACAGAACAGAGTTATGATATTTCACTCAACATCTCTATCAAGAAAATACTTATCATAACAACACTTACATCTCTATCAAATTCCAACATAAAGCATCGTTTCACATCCTCCTTTGTGGGCTTGCAGCCACATCGGTCTCGTCTAGAAGTCAAGTCAGAAAATTTGGCGTATGTGTAATGTAACACTGCACCCTCTTCCACTTTCACTTTACTGTTAAGATGAAAGAAGAAGGATATGAATATAATTGGTAAACAAAGAAGTAGCTAATAAAACATAAGACATACTTTGGAGTTTTCATGTAATTATGCCATCTGTGTGCACCATGAGGCCGAAGATGGTCTTGTATACGAGCAGCAGATTTTCCGTTAGCATATGTCATAAAGTAGTTTGCGCTGCCACGGGCTGATTCTTCATACATGCCATGGTAAGTAGCTTTAGTCAAATGGTCATAATTTTTCTTGAACATCGACACCTATATAAATGAATAATTGAATAATGGTATAGAAAATATCCTTATATGAATTCAAGCTCATTAAATTAGTGGGTAAAAGAAAGAAAAGATAGACAATTTCTTGGTATATATACGAAATTACCTCCGTGAAAGGATCCTGGATATCATCTCGTTCAACACTGCTTTCCTGAAAAGAAACACATAGTATGGTATGGTATGTCTTGAAGAAAATCAAAGTTCTGAATCTACATCCTCTTCAAGTTGAGAAAATCAAAACTTGTGCTTACATAGTTTGGGAAAACAACCGTGTCCACATCTGCAGGCATTTCACTCAACAGTTCTCTTAGAGAATATTCTCGAGCACCAGCTGGATGCATCAATTCATCAGTATCCAGATGAAGAATCCAGTCCACATCTGCCTCCTGAGATTATTAAATATAAATATAAATATATTACTTCACTAAATCTTCATGTTTAATTTCTTGTGTACAGTTGATGGCATCTATCATTCATACCCTTGCCATAACTATCGCCATCTCCATGTTTAAGTTTTGCTTCACAAACAACTCATAATTGCAAGGCTTATACAAGAAAATCGACAACCAGCTTTCATTCCAAGCTCGACTGAAGCAGCAATACAAAAGGTTTGTTAGTGAATGATAAACTAGACAAGAGTAAATGGTCAACAATACAAAGTAAAGAAAAAATGGTGTCCACATTTGTCTTCTTCTTTATCTTCATTTGTCCGTGCTGACAAGTGGATAGAAGACAAGTAAGTTGATGCAATTTACCTCTTAGCTTGTTGTTCCTCCATTTCTTTGGTTCTATGTATCACTTTAACTCCCTGCAAAATTAAAAGAGTCCAATCTCATTAAATCACACTCATAATTATGACATTTCAGATAACTAAAACAATTATTATTACTCCCTCTCTTTATTGTCAAGTGTTTGCATTTTTTGTTTCTAATTATTTATTGTTTTAGACTATTCTACTAGTTATATTGTATAAGAAATCTCAAAACAATGGAATGAAAATAATTTCAGCATAACAAATAGAAAAAACAATTTAAGTATGGAATGAAAGAGAACGATTAGTAGTAAACTAAAATATTAATTTTAAGGAAATTACAGCAAAATTGTAAAGTTACATTTAAAAATAACTTTTGTACATATCACTATTATTATATGTAATATCTTTATCTGATTTTTTTTTTCACTTAACATTTTTAAGATTTTGAATTTTTTAGTAAAAATTTAAAATGCATTCAGTCAAGGCATATGTGAATTGCATTATTTTTTCTTTTAATTTTTATAATCATTTAACAAAAATATAAGAGTCGCCATTCTATAAAAATGTTGACATGGTATATTAGGACCATATTGCATTATTGGAATTGGAAACCCATTCAAAAAATGTTGATATAAAATAAAAAATATTTTACTGAAAAAAGTATTTTCATATATATATATATATATATATATAATAAAACAAATTAGATTTATATGCCACTGCGAGTGATAAATTTAAAGAACATAATACACAAAAATAACATATTACTTGTTTTATAAGTAAAAAGTTAATAACATGACAATTAAGTTTCGTATTATTTACACGATCAAAATATTTACTTGTTTAGTAATTCAAAAGACAAAAAAAAAAAGGAAAAAAAGTTATTCAGTTAATTAATAGATTTTTTTTGTTTAGTAATACATAAATAAAGATAGATTTTTTTTTTTGTTTAATAATACATGAATAAAAATGCGGGTTTATGGGATGTCTTCTCAATAACAATGTACTCAGTTCTCTTTTGAGTTATATATATATGTGCTTCTATCATATCGAAAAAAAAAAATGTGATGTAGATCTAAATAATCGTTAAATATATATAAAAAAAGAAACATATTACTTTTTAGTATTTAAATATAGATCAAATCGGTAAGAGCCTAAAAATTTTTATACTATTTTAAACTTTAGCTTTCCGCCATGATTAAACATAATAATTATTTTATACTATGTTGAAAATTAATTAATTTATGATATGTAATGTATTTGAAAAAAAAAAATTACTAAAAATACTAATATTAGCAGATTACGGAAACTTAAACATTTTAACTTTTAAAATACGGGAGATTTGGAGTGATCTAATAACAATAACCAAAGTTTTTTTATTTTTTAATTTTTTTTTTTATTTTTACCATTTTCTATTGTTAACAAAAAAATGTATTAAAATCATTTGACAAAAAAAATTACTAAAAACACTAATAATAGTAGATTACGGACACTTCAGTATTTTGATACAGTACGAAAGATTCGAATATAGTAAAAATATACTTACAATAAAATAATTCCATATTCACCAGATTATATTATTTATGTTATTTTATTATTTGGAAAAAAACTTACTTTAAAATAGAATTATAAAAGTGAGAAAATTTGCAATAGATTTATTTATGGAGAAATTTCTCTTTAATAATATATGTATTTCTTGTCACAATTATTTAAATAAGATCGTTCAATATTGATTTTAATAGTGTCTCTGGCCCAATAGGGGGGAGGTCGATCTTATTGACCTCTACAACCTCTCGAGTAGGGAGGAGGTCACGGAGGCTATGTTCGAAATTGATCCTAATAGTGTCTCTGGCCCAGATGGCTTCTCGTCTCTCTTCTTTTAGGCCTGTTGGGAGATTGTTTAGACTGATGTTGAGGAAGCCGTGGTAGATTTCTTCTCTGGTCACCAGATGCCAGAGTCTTTCATGACTAGGTATTGTTTTGATACCAAAGAGTCCTGGGCCGAGCTCCTGGTCCGATTATATACCTATCCGCCTTTGTAATGTGACAAACAAGCTCATCTCCAAGATTTTTAACGGTCGCCTTGCCCCTCTCATTTCTTCCCTCGTCTCTCCGAACCAGAGTGATTTCATCAAGGACCGAGTCATCAGTGATAATATCCTTTTGGCTCAAGAGATGATCCACGACATCTCCCATGCAAACCGGTTACGAGACTCGAACCTTGTGCTGAAGCTAGATATGGCTAAGACATATGATAGGGTCGAGTTGTCGTTTCTCAAGGAGGTTCTGTTCCAGATGGGTTTCCGGCGTGCATTGAGCACTGCACGTTATCAATCTTCGTTAACTATAGTCCCACTTACTTCTTTCCTTCTACCCATGGTCTTCAACAGGAAGATCCCCTATCTCCCTTCCTTTTTGTTTTGGTGGCTGATTACCTGTCTCGCTGTCTTGATGACTTCATCCGCGATTTCTCGAGGATGACCTATAGCACATTGGCTATGGTCACCCCATCTCGCACCTTTCTTATGCGGATGACATTATTATCTTCACTCGTGCATATAATAATGGTCTGATTGATCTCATGCACCTCCTGGGGCACTATAGCTCGGTTTTCAGCCAGCTTGTCAGTGTGCATAAGAGCACCTTCACCCTTTATAATCACATTGCGGACTAGTAGGCCCATTGGGTCCACGAGCGCACTGGTTTTGCACGCGGAGACCTCCCCATCACTTATCTTCGAGCCGTCCTGTCCAAGGGCCATCTTTCTCACGAGATCTTTACTACCGTGAGGCAGAGGATGATTGACCGGATCTCGGGCTGGTCTAACAAACACCTTTCTCTTGGGGGCTGTAGCGCCCCATTTGTTCCAGATTATTTTGAAATTATTAATTATTTTATTTTGTCCGATATTATTTATTTCGTGCTCGATTAATATTTTGTTCGATTATGTGAAAATAATTGTGTATTGTTTTAGTAGTATATTTAATTGAGCCAAAATTTTTTATCGATTGAACTGGAAAATCGAACAACGCATTAGTCGAGAATTTTGATACCGAGCGCACGCCATCAACCCGCACCTTTCCCGCACCTGCGGCCCGCGTCCGCAACGCCCTAAGCCCGCGCCAATCGCGAAGCCCGCGCCCGAGGAGCACCCGACCAGCCCGACACCCCTCCCTCCTTTGCATGCATGAGCTTATCTTGAAATTTTGAGTTCAAAAGGGATATCCTATCCCTTAACTTCAGCCTCCTCATTCCTTTTAATGTGCATTGACCAAGAGTTAATGTGAAGGAGGTTACACATTTTTCATTTAATGAGGGAAGACCACACTCTTTCTCTCCCTCATTCCCCACACATTTTCTCTATCTTCTTTCCCTTTCCTCTCTTACAAATTTAGAATTGTCGCACTCCCTCTTACCTCATATTTCGCCGGAAATAATCACCGGAGCACTGCCTCGCATCGCTCGTGCGCCCTCCACCCGCTGTACCGCCCGCGCGCACCGCACCCCTGTGCATGCTCGCGACGCTAACGAGCTGCTCCCCGCGACCATCGCACATTCGAACTCCCTCCATTCAACGTCCAACGTTCCTTTCACGAGCCACCCGAAGTCATCATCACTTGATGTGCGAGCCCCCTTCAACGCTGAGCACGCGGACGATTTCCCCGTCTATAGGACCCAACCGAGCCACGACCGCGCCTCGCTTCGTCATCCCTTTTTGGTGTTTGGTATATTATGCTAAACTCTAATATTTCTTTGTGTTTATATGTTAAATTGCTGATTATTATATATTTCTTGAATTATTTGATTTTATAGGATATAATATGATAAATATTAAATTGTGTTAATGATGGATCTATAGGGTTTGATAGTGAACCCTTAAGATCTGATCAAAACTCGTGGTCATCTCTTGAATTATGGAATATCTTTTTGTCTTGAACACAATGGCTTTGGCCTTGTGTAATTCGGAATTGTATTTTTCAAGATATGCATTTTTTAATATTATGTGTCTGCTGGAACTTGTAAAATTCATGAGAGTTCGCTCAGTTGTCCAAAAATTCTGAATTTTTAATATGTTTCTTCTGTGATATATATTGACTTCGTTTTTTAAATTTTGTAATTTTTGGAGTTGAATTGCTAGGGTAAATAATTAAATGTTCGTTTCTGCTAAATCTTTGAAAAATCATATCAAATCGGATTTTTTTATAATTTCATGAAACTTGGTTATTGTGCTTATTTTATGTGATTTTCGAAACAGTAAAAATATCAGAAAAATTGGGATTCAATAAGTTGTGTGTTTCTTAAAATCGGGGTTTTGGCTGAAACTTGTTCAATTTTCATAAATTACATGTTTATGTTTTAAGTTTGGCATTTTTATATGTTTCTCTAAACATGATGTATTATTCGTAATAAAAATTTGAAGTCTTGAAACTGTTGTTATGCGATTGTTAACAACGATTAGATATTAAGTTAAGTGAGTATGCGAAGAGTTTGGATGGAAAACATGTATTAAAGATGCACGCAATGGCCCCGGTCCGAGGTGAACCGAGGTGAAAGGTGTTGGCCTCTTTTATATATATTGTATATTCAGGGAGCAATCCCTGTACAAGTATACAAATCTTCTATTTATAGTAGCTTTTTTTTGGCCCGTATGTCGAGGTGTATGGTTGCTTTTGCATAAAGTGGCTTTTTGGATGGGCGGCCATGCGAGTGGGACCCACACGAATGATGAGTTTTCTTGTGGTGTTAGAACATGTTGCGTAGATGAGTCCGTAATGACCTCGATTTTCACAGAACAGGTCGGTTTTCTTCACTTTGGTCAGAGTTCGGTTCGTGGCATGAACCAGAGTGATTAGAGTTCAGGTCGTTTGTCTATAATGATTCTTCTAATACACGATTTCAGACGAGTGATCCCGGATTATCGGATCGGATGATAACAGAGAGGCCCCCGGTGTCGGCGAGCATACGAAGTGATGGTTGTCTGCACTGTAAGACAGACGGAAACTCCGAGCCGGTAATTAGCCATGAGCTGGAGATGCCTACCTCGGTGTGTTCTT